TTTCCTGGAATATGGGTGGGTGATCGTTGATATCATTCACAAAAATAACCAAGCTGGCATAGGAGGACCTGGCCATAGGCTTGCCATTGTCTGACACAGACACGGTCAGGTTGTAGGAGGAAATTCTCTCCCTGTCTAACACACTGGCAACTTTGATCAGACTCAAATTGGGCACAGGAGACGTGTGCACTTCAAAGTGTCTCTGCTCATTACCTCCTAAGATCGACACAGATATGTTACCATTAGCTGAGGGGGAGTCCGAGTCTGAAACAGTGAGCAGAGCTACAACCGTGCCAATCTGTGCGTTTTCATCCACAGAGGCAAACTTAGAAGTTGTGGGGAAGTATCTGAACTTCACCACGGGGTCGTTATCATTCACGTCTAAAAGTTTGATTGTGGCTTCTGTCCTCCCTGACAGAGACGGCACCCCATTATCTACAGCATGAATAGTCAGGGAGTACTCCTTTTTACTCTCAAAATCCAGTCCCTCTTTTATAATAACCGTACCAGCTTTAGGATCTATTTGAAAGGGTGACCCTTCATCTAAAAAGTACCTGATTTCTGCATTGGCCCCCTCATCCTGATCTGATGCTGTAATCTGCAAAATACTTGAACCCACTGCTGCATCCTCAAAAACACTAGTTTGATACTGATCTTGGTCAAACAGAGGAGGGTTGTCATTTATGTCTTGGATTGTGACGTTTACTTGCAGGTAGCCAAACTTTTTGGGGTCTCCTTTGTCCTCCACTTCAATCAGGAGCTGATAGAAAGGAGTCACTTCCCTGTCCAAGCCTCCAGTTGAAACAAGGTGCAAGAATGCCCCCTCTCCACTTGGATTAACTGTAATATCCAAGCGGAATTTCCTCTGCTCGTTGCCTTTCACTATTCTGTACGTGGTGTGATCAACTCCGTTACTTCCAATGTCTGAGTCTGTGGCGGTGTCCAGGATCACTTGCCTGCCGCTGCTCGCGTCCTCCTTAAAAGACACAACGATTGACGCGTCTGGAAACACCGGGGAGTTGTCATTAATATCCAAAACTACTATCCGGACCTCCGTGGGGTAGGTGGGCTGGCTGGACAGCACCACCACGTTGATGACATCACTTTGCAAAACTTCCCTGTCAATCACAGAGGACGTGTAAATGACCCCCGTGGTGCCGTTAATTGCAAAAAGTTTATGGTTCTCGCTAAAGCGGTACGTGAAGCGGGGTTTGGTCTCTATCGTGCCCACGTAGGTGCCAATGGGCTGCTCCTCCAGGACCTGAAACTCTTGACGGACTTGGCTGGATGCTGAGTACTGCGACAGAGTCCATAAGAGCAGTAACACCAAATGAAACCGGCCTAAGCCCCTACCTGTGAGCGCCATGGTCAGTAAGCCAGTCCACCTTTCTCAGACAGAGTCCATGCCTATGATGCATCCACTTTACCGAGGCTGAACGACTCACTAAAGCATTGTATTCCAGCAAATGTGCAGAGCAGGTTCAAAGAAGAGTATCCACACTTGAAAAGTGCTCCAAAGTACTCCTGAAGTGTTGTTTTATCCTGCGCAGCGCTCTGTCTCAATTCAACATCCTCTGAATGAAGAGAGAGAGAATCCCGGTTTCATTTCTACTCCTCAAAACGCAAACGCATTTTCAGTACAATCCCATGACTGGTGAAACAATGCAAAAGTTTCTGCCTCCTTGGACGTGCGTGGAGAAAAAGTTTATCCAAAGTTGGAGCGCAGTAAGCGGCGCAGAGCGCGAGCACACGGCTAAACCTATGCACCGTCCCGTGGAATAACGGTGCAGGCGCTTCAGTCATATTGTGCTCAGAAGTCCCAGTAACTTAGGACAAAGCTGGAGTTCGACAAACTCCCTCCCATCGCTGATCCCATTGGATAACGCTGCTCCTGCCCGCCCTCCCACCGCCTCTCCCCCTCTATTGTGCAGCGCAGCGCTCTGTCCCCGCCCGTGGAAGAGGATGTCAATCAAAGAAGACAGGTAACGATACCCTGAGCGCTCCTAATGACCCCAATAACAGATTAATAAAAGATAAAACACAGTTAACGAGCTCAGGATGTGAAGGTTTCACATAGAATAGACGGAGACCGAGCGGAAACATACAGATCTCTCCACAGAAACACTTTACAAAGTGTCAAAACACGCTCTCGATAATGGAAAATGAGGAGTAGATTTTAAATGACCGGGGAGAAAACGAGAAAAAGTTAATCTAGACTTTATTTAAGATTAAATAAAGCTCAATTGGTAATGCTCTAAAAGTATCTGATAACAAGTATTAAAAAAAACATCAGCCAAAAAACGAGGAATAATTGGAACTAAATTTGTTCTGGATTAAATATTTTATTTTACTTATTTGCATGTAGTTGTATCCTGAAGAAAATGTCTCCAAATTACCTCCTGGAAATGTCATATTAACAAATATGTGAGGGATATCAGTGAAAAATTATTCTCTATTTCCTTTAAATATGTTTTAAAATAAACATTATGGTCCAAAGTTGAGTATTAATAATAGGTAATATTTGATTTATTCATAATCAGGGTGACATATTTGCTTATAATTGCAGCTGCAGAGAGCATCACAAACGTGGTCAAGTGGCACCACCTAGTGGCCAAACGATGGTATCTTTTTTTGGTAAAGGACTGAGGACATTAAAGATTTCATATTACATCCTAAAAAAAACGTTTTGGCATCTATGACAAAAAGGGAAAGATACTCAAGTATAGTCTTACATCCAGGTGATCTTAAACCACATAGAAATCAAAATCATCCAAAACATATGAGAGGAGATCTGCAGAGTACGTGAGCTGAAGAAGTTTATTTTTTGCGCAAATTAAAGGCATGCAGATGTGTGAACATATCCTGCACAAGATGAAAATATTGAAATTGTACTAATCGGATCATAATCCAGAAATGGACCAAGTGAAAGAGGAACAACCATATCCAGCATTAATGTTTATAAATTTCAAATCAAGTGAGGAAACTGAGAGAAATCTTGAAAGATCTAGACTATATTGTATTTCTAGAGTTGAAAAATGAATCTGTCACCTGTGTCTAATTACTGTCAAATATCATCCTTTAAAAAGAGATTGATGGCTTCTGTCACTTTTTTAATCCGTCTACATCTGACATCAGTTTATGTTGTTGAAACTAGAACACGCTCCTTTTCTGTCAGCGGCCCTCTAGGAACAAGAGATCCTCCGTATGTTAGGGTAAACTCCTCTAAACACAAATGAAACTGTTGCCTTACTCCTCTATGGCAACAAATCTGTGGGCTCAACCAAGAGGCAGCTGAGGAGGCGCCACGGCGAAGCATGCAACGTCAGCAGGTGATATTAAAAGGGGGGGGGGGGGGGCTGCACTCAATCCTGATGAAGTCATAAGCTTGTCAGACGAAATATATTCCAAAACATAAAAATCGGATATAACTGCAGTTGTGTGTATATATTGCACATTGTGTGACACTGCGTTTTGGTCAGTTGGTTGTGCTAAAATCTGGACTGGAGGGAGCAGGCCTGGTGAAACAGTCTGACTGCAGCAGGAAGGAAGGACTCGCAGTATCTCTCTGGTGAAGCAGCCTGTCACTCTGTAACAGCGCCATCACTCTGGACAGGGTCCAGAAGGCAGCCCAGGACTGAGCTGGCCTTCCTCACCAGTTTGTTCAGTCTGCTCCTGTCTGGAGTCGTGATGCATCTTCTCCACCAGACGACTGAGTCCACTACAGAGTCATGAGAAGTCCTCAGGAGTGCTCCCTGCACACCAAAGGACCTCTGTTTCCTACTTTAGTTTGTCCTGTCAAGTGTGCTCATGTTGTCAGTCCAGTTCAGTTTGTTGTCCAGGTGAACACCCAGGTACTTGTAGGAGTCCACAATCTCAAAGTCCTTTCCCTGAATGTTCACCAGTGTGGGAGGGTTGAGACTGCATCTGCAGAAATCAACCACCAGTTCCTCAGTTTTCCCAGTGCCTCTTGTTGTCGTTGGCGATGAGGCCAACAATGGCGGAGTCGTCTGAGAACACAATTTGTTGTGTGGTGAGTGAAGTCCGCAGTGTACATGGGTAAAAAGGAAGGGGGCCAAAACTGTCCCCTGGGGGCCCCCATATGACAACGTTTCTTAAAAACACTTAAAAAAGGATATTCCGGCATAAAATTAAGTTAGGGTCAAACACACCGCAACACCGAGTTAGACACCCCCTCCAGAGATGAATGTTGTCGACCGCTTGCTTCTCTTGTTATACCAACTTTTGAACGACCGCACAAAAGCAATACACAGCGATCTGAGGAGCCATAAACAAACGCAAACAAAACGCCACTCTATAGCCACAAATAATGCTCAGAACAGCACCTAACTTCATCAACAGGACATATAGGGTCACAGCCATAGTACTAGACACCAAACATCTTTTAAACTTTGCCTGATTTCTTTAGCAAAGAGACTAAACACAACTCACCTACTCTCTTCCAGCAGCCGCTTGTTTGTATGGAGACCTCTGGGTGAGTCCATCAACTACAGCGGAGTTTCGCAGCTCAAGGAAGAACATTATGATCATTTCTTTATCATTTCCCTAAAGTAATAATCATCATATTAATCATTTTGCACTGCAGACGTGGTAGTTCTTCTGCCATAGCGTCTTGGTCTGATTGTATTTCCATGAAGAAATGATCATAAATGTTCTTCCTTGAGCTGTGTCACCCCGCAGCAGACCGTAATGGACTGGCCTAGCTAGAGGTCTAGCTACAAAAAAAAGACTGCTGGATGAGGGTAGGTGAGTTGGTATAACTAGAGAAGCAAGTGGTCGGCAACATTCATCTCTCAACAGGGTGTCTAACTCAATGTTACGGTGTGTTTGACCTTAAATTAATTTTGCGTCGGAATTTCCCTTTAAATGTAGGAAAAGAGTTTTGTGTAGTTTTCAGTCTTCCTTGGAGCAAATGCACAGCTGAGATGAACAATAAGACGATTGTCCTCAACAACTTTTCAGGCATTCATCTTGTCAAAACGCTCACTTCTAATCACCGTCTCCATGCAGAGAGATGTGTCCAGGTCAAACCAGTTCACTTTAAAGTCCAACTAAAGCTGGAAGAAACAGTTTGACGTAAGTAATCATGAAAGTGAACTCCTGTGCTGCACATCATCCGTCCTGAGAAATAACATTACAGAGCATAATTACAGCCCTTCTTCTTTTGACGGACAGAAATGTTTATCCAGGTTTGCTATTTGACAATTTGTGGCTCCCGTAATCAGGGCTGTTGGCTGCCTGGACGTTAAAAAGGACATGAGTCGACTAATGTACCATAATTGAATTAGGGAGCGGGCTGGACCTGTGGTAGCTGCTCAGCCTGACACAGATTTAATGTTTTGGTAGCAGACAGAGCATCAAAGTAGATTACTTCCCCACAGGAGACGCTGAGCTAACGTGATTACGGCGGCTAAGCCAGGAGCTCTCAGGATGCTTTTGATATAAATATCAAGTTGTTGTCATGTTGGACTTCATTCTTTTAATGCCGGCTGAAGGTCTCACATGCTGTCGATTCTCAGGGAGCGAGTTGTGATGTGGAGGAGATCTGACGGCCTGTGTGAATACAGAAAACACGTGAAAACAGAGTGAAAGTTAAGCTGTGAGTCAGTTCTTATATGACCGTATATTCTCAAGGCTGGACAGTTCGACCGTTTGACTTGCATTTGCGAATAAAAATAGATGTGTACGAATTGTAAAATGTATTTGGGGGCACATATGCGCATTAAAAAAAAAAATCAGCTTAGTTTTAGGTTGGATATCCAACGGACATTCATGGCAGATCTACCAGTGTGTTCTTAAGGTCCTTACACACCAGGACCGACGTGAATATAGTACACAAAAATTGTGAAATATTCAGAGGCGAATTTTGACGCACCTGACTATACACATCAAGCCTGATGCGAGTCCCGCCTCCCTTACCTCTGATTGGCAAGAAAGGTCATCACACACACTCAAGCCAAATGGTCAGCACTTATAGCCAATCAGAGGCGATAAGATACGCACATGAAACTATGGTAACAACCGTTAGCTTACATTAGCACAGATAAAAGTTCAAACAAAGACGTTTAGCAAACTGTTAAAGCACAAAAACCATCGTCATATGAGAAATCCGACGCTATGACTCTCCACAAGTTGTCCTTCAGGTCGTTATCTTTGTAACATTTGTGTCTTTTATCGAAAAGCACTCTGTTCTCCGACACGTAAACAATCAGCCGGTCGACCGTGTTGGATATACCGGTGAATCAGACGCCGCAACAACATGCAATCTGATTGGTCAGAAGTGGAGACACAGTATGCAAAAATTTAGAAAAATTGACTGTGATCCAAAAAAATAAATGCCGTTGTATCGCAGGACAGGAAAATGTCACTGATGTGAACGCTTGTATTGACGAAAAAAAATGTTGACGTCCAAATTAACCGCACAACAAAAACAGTCCCGGTATGAAAGGACCTTTACTCTCCACAACCGGGAATAGCAACAGCAGCGCTGTTACATCTACTCGGCATCCTCACTGTCAACGTCAGATTTTGAAATAAGGGACCATCAATAAATTACCAGTTGATGTTCTCGAAAAAGGCTGTTTTCCTTCAATAGCTTCCATGTCATGTGACTAATTGACCTAAAATTGATTTCAAATAATAGTACTTAAGTCGACCAATAAGACATACATTATTTGATCAATTTTCATGATGCCCTTGTGAAAACAGTTATTGTCAAGCCCTGACTCTGCTGTAATAGTGTGACGCAGAAATAATACAATTACTTCAGTTAGCATGGATCTGAAAAAGCTTTACAAAGCACTCTCTGTTTGCTTCACTCCATTCGCACCTCAGTGATAAGTGATGGCTTTTATGTAATATATGATAAATGCGATTTATTGTGGGCTCACATTGTGCGGTCCACCCAAGTCAAAAAGGTCTAGTTACGCCCCTGTTCACCAGCCTGTACCTTGCACTGATTGTGTTATTTTATCCAGCTTATCCACTGGTTGGATTATGATGTAAAAATGATGTCTGCACTGAGTGAAACACCAGGATACTCGTTCTAAATCAATCTTTATCGATGACTCAGAGAAGTTACTTTGAAGCTGCGCTGAAAGCCGCGGGCGAAACGAGTTTTTATGAGGATGTTGAATGAAAGTGAAATGAAATTATCTTTGGCTCTGTCGATAACCAAAAGTGGTCCAGGCAGACAGATGTTAGAGAGACTTGCAAAATCCCTCTGAATAAGATTAGTTCAGAGCATCAAAGGCTGTTTCCTCCGCTCCGCACAGAAAGCTCAGCGCCAGTGGAGAGCCTAGCTTCATAAAATCCATCAACATGTTGTAAAGTCAATGCTCAGGTGGTAAAGATCAAATGCAGGAGTCAAGGAGGAGATGCAAGAATCTAAAGCAGCCATTCATACACAGAGATCTCTCGTTTGTAGAGTGGGATCGAAGCCGAATGATGCAAAATCGAGTCAGGTTTAGACTTGAAGTTGGTTGATATTGAATATGAGGACAGATTTTAAGATGCTTGAATGCACCTTTCAGGGCCTGTGCTGCCTCGTCTTTAAGAAAGTCATGGAGGAACAATACAGCAGAGGAGGCTAAATAACTGCTTTTTTACAAGGAATTCATTGAGTTCAGCCTCATGCAAAAAAAACTTCCATTGAATAGGCTTTTAAAACCGAGCGACAAAACCGTTATTGTAAGCAGCTGGAAGTGCCAGCCTGCAGAACAACACCGCCTTCTTTCCTAATAATGAGTGCGTGAATGGCCAGGCACCGATTCTGACTGTGGATCTATTGCATGTCTGTGTTTGTTTAACATGTTTCTGGCTTTTAAATTGTCCTCCTGTGTCTCTGCCGCATGTTTCCCAGCCACTCCTTGATTTCAGACCTGCTGTTTCTGAGCACACTCGCTCTTTTCGCGCTCCTCCTTTCAGGCTAAAAGAATCTCTGAAGAAATAAATATCTATCCAAACACTCTGCCGTGTTGCACAGGCGTTGCATGGGATATCGCTTGAACTGGTACGTGCCATACAAACCAAAGAGACGTTCATTAGAGGGGTGGAGGGTCAAATACAGGAGCCATCTTGAAATGTAGGCTCAGTTTTGATTAAATATACAGGAAAGTGTTTCAGTGTTTTCTCACCAAACTGAGTCAGACGGGGAAAAAAAAGGAGGGCGGTGATTTGATGGAGAGGTAGGGGCCTTGGCGAACTCACTAATGAGGCAGCCAGAGCTGAGAGATTTAGGGCCTCGTGTAACAGAATTCACTTGGATTTCTCAAGGCAAAGTAATGAACTACACATTTTTGCGTGTGCTAAACATGATCAAAAATAAAAGATCCTTTTGCTTTTCTTTTCCCCAAACTTAACATGTTTTTGGTTTGGTTTGATGCCCCCTGTTGGCAAAGATGTACCATATAGATGCATATTTTCTCACATTGTTGAGCCTGTCCTGCACAAAACAAGGCAGAATCTCAACAACAAAAAAACTCACCATAAACGTTTCTTCCTCGCCGATGGCCCAGCGGTCTAAGCACACCCAAAAACAGGAGACATAGTCGTCTTCGCAGGGGTCACTGGTTTGATTCCCATCCACAAACCTTTGCAGCATCTCTGCCCTTGCTCTCTCCTCCCCACATCTCCTTTGTTTTATTTTCCCTTTCTGAAAAAAAGGCAAAATTTTCCAAACACAAATGTGAAAATCAAAGAAAAGTCTGTTTCTGTGGACTCAAACACTTTTGCAGCGTTAAAACTTGATATCTAGAGATCATCATTTTGTTGGTGGTAGTTTTATTTACTTTTGCAGGTCATTAGGAAGTTTTACAACCTGTTAAAAACTCCTCACAGTGGCTTTAAAGGTATGCTGTGCAGAATTTAACAGTATTTAGCAGAGCTGAGTTGGTAGAAATGGAATACAGTATCCATAAATATGTTTAAATTAGTGTTTTATTGCCTGAATACTAAAAATATTTGTTATATTAACTTTAAATGAGTCATGTATATTTACTCAGAAGTGGGCCCTCTATCACAGAAGCAGAAAATCTACAAGCTCACATACCTATCTTTGGATTTAGTGAATGGATGCACTTGTTGAAATGAGAGGAAGGGGAAGGTTGTTGTGTGCTGAAGGACTTGCGTTGATGGACCTACTTCATATAGAGGCTTTTTTATCATGCAGCATATGAGCTTCTCGTCCACAAAGGCCACTTCATCGATAGAAGGGGCGAGCAAGGGAGCAATTTAATCTGGAATGATGCACCAAAAAGGAAAATGATTTATCACATGAAATCATTCAATATTAGAGTCTTAACATTTGGAATTTTACATGATCATTTTTAACACAAGAGACCGGGGAAAGATAAGGCAAAAAGATACAATAAACTGACATGAGGAGGGGAACACAGAGGCTTTATAAAACCAGCAACAGGTGGGAAACACACAGGTGAAACCAATGACAGTACTCAAAGGAGGGCAAACACAGGAAGTGAAACTAACCACACGCAGACAGAATAAATACTACAAAATAAAACAGGAAACAGTGAAAACCTAACAGTAAAAAACAAAGAGAAAGTTCATACAAGGAACAGAAACTTGACAGAAAAATACACCGAAGATGAAACTTCAGACAAGAACAAGGAAAAACTAAACAATAAAAATGTGAAATAAGACAATGACATGGTGTATTTTTAAGCACTCTTTAATGTTGCACTTTGTAACTTATAATAAATGAGAAATTAAGTGTAATGCTCTGTTTAAGGTTACATTGGCCATGTTAATTATTTGATCCTCAAAGCTTGAACGCAGTAAAGATCCCTTCTGGACAAGCTGTAAAACTTCTTAAATCTGTCTTTGATTAAAATTCAGATGAATTTTTCATCCAGAAAAAGCTCCATAAGCTTGTTAAATACATTATAGATACATATAGATAGTTTATCACTCCTTGTAAATAAACAAGTCTCTTCTCTCACTTACACCAGCCTGCTGCGAAAAGACTGATGTAATGCTCTCTATGTGCAGTACTCCGGCTGGCCCACAGGTGTCACTGTTCCATCATAAAAGCACTAATCCATGCAGCACTCTCACAGTCACACTGAAAGCATTACAAAGCAGAATTTAATTTGAAGAATCATTTCCCCTCTGAAGCAGTTTATTCCTCAGGACACAGGCCTGTTTTTTTTTTTTTTTTAGCAGAATCATGCAGATAGAAATCTAACAGGAACCTTTTTTTTTTCTTGTAGGAAATGACCCCGAAGCTCTTTAAAAATGTTACTCCACAGGCAGAGAGGCAACAAGCGAGAATAATAAATCAATTTTTAATGTGTTTGTTTTAAAACAAGGCAGGGAGTTTGGCTTTTCTGGCTGATTTCTTATATTTCTGGTATTTCTTTGAGAAACTGGGTGCCGTTGGAGCGAGAGAGCGAGAGACTGATATGATTGTGAGGGCTGAAAATACAACATTATTTACACACAAAGACCAGAGACCACACAAAAACAAATTTGATGTTTTTCAGAGGATTGCACTGAAGTTGGGAAAGCAGAATTCAATGATTTGCAAACGACCCATAATCAATTAAATATGCGACAAAGACGAGATATTCAGTGTTCAAACTGACAAACTTTGTTATTGGAAAATTGTACTTATTTTTAATTTGACTCCTGCATTATGTTCCTAAAAAGATGGGACAAAGGCAACAGAGGTCTGGGAAAATTGAGGTGCGCTCCAAAAACACTTGTTTGGATCAGGTTCATTGGAAACAGGTGAGGGTCATGATTGGCTCGGTCCTTCAGGGCCAGGATCACAATCAGCGTGTTGTGAAAAACTGCATAAGACCCTAAATGGAGGATGTTGCATCAAAGGTTTACCACAACACAAACAATGAAAAAAAGAAAAAAAAAACACTTTTGATGAAGTTTTAAGTGTCTTCACAAAAAGTAACCGAAGCCTAACAAGTGTGAGGATTAATGAGCGAGGTGTCCGCTTTCATATTAATTTTCACTGTGCTGTTATAATGAAATACTTCCTCAGAGAGATTCGCACCCTCTGATGCACAAAGGAAACTGTCTGAGGTAACTGAAGTCATTTCAATAACAATCCCACCTGTGAGGGATGCTGATGGGGATCATGCACAGGGCAGCCACCGTATACACACTCTGCAAATTGCCTCGCTCGAGCGCTTGATCCCGATGTGAGATAAGGAAATGAAGAAGACTGCTCTCTTTGAGTCCTTTGAAGCTGATATGAAACTCTGAGCAGAGGAGTGAGGGGGACAGTGACAAATAGCAGCGAGCTGAGTGTGGACTGTGCTGCTGTTCATTAGACCCCTTATCCAATTTCACACCCGTACCCGAGCCACCCCCCTCTTTATTTGGCCGCCCTTTCAAAGCGCCGTCCTGAGGTTTGAGAGTTTGTCTGATTCCCCTTAAAGACTGAGAGGTTCAGAAGACGGATTTATTCAAGACAAACACGTACAGTTTACGGGTTTGAGGGTCACTTACCTTTCCCTTTGTTTGGATAGAAATGAGGAAGATGCGTGAAAAAAGACAGAAGCATAAATGGGAACAGAAAGTGATTCAACATTTAGAGATCATTCAAAGTTGTGAATTGAGAATGAATTATGGTAGACTGATACGTTTATAGCCTTCATCTGAGTCATTATGAAACATTCAATACCAGGAAAGTTTCGGGAGTGAAAGTCAAAAACATCCGCTAAAAAGAGGAAGAAATACAGAAGGCAGGGACATCCTGCTACTCAACTTCTACAAAGTCATTTTAATATGGCAACCAAAAGTCTTTTAATCCCGTCCAATAATATGATAAAAAAACATCAAAATTAAAGGTTTTACATGTTTTCAATATGAGACAGTGTCCATGTGAAAAGACATATAGAAATGTGATCAACAGAGATGATCTAACCAGTTCTGCTGTAAGACATCTCAATAAAAAGTCATGTTGTTTCGCCGTCCTGAGGTCTGAGAATTTGTCTGACTTTCCTTAAAGACTCAGAGGTTCAGAAGACGGATTTATTCAAGACAAACACATAGAGTTTCAGGGTTTGAGGGTCACTTACCTTTCCCTTTGTTTGAATAGAAATGAAGAACATCTGTGAAAAAAGACAGAAGCTTAAATGGGAACAGAAAGTGATTCGACATTTAGAGATCATTCAAAGTTGTGCATTGAGATAAACTCCGGAGGAACTTTATTCATAGACTGGTGTGTCTATAGCCTTCATCTGGGTCATTATGAAACATTTAATAACAGGAAGATTTAGGGAGAGAAAGTCAAAAACATCCGCTAAAAAGAGGAAGAAATCCAACAGGCAGGGACATCCCACTTTTAAACTTCTACGGGGTCATTTTAATATGGCAACTTAAGTCTTTAATCCTGTCCAACTATATAATGAAAAACATCTTTTCTTTAAAAGACGGTGTCCATGTGAGAAGACATATAGAAACTCAATCAACAGAGATGATCTAACCAGTTCTGCTGCAAGACATCTCAATAAAAAGTCCTTTTTCATCTTTATTAGAAATCTTTTGATTTACACAGTTGATCTCTGAACGCGGTTGTAAGTTCTCGGTTTTTGCTCCTTTCTAGTTTATCATCGTTATAGAAATTTTAAGTTTCACGCCATGACTTCATGTACCCCTTCACATCTCATGTGTGAGGCGAGAATAGACAAGTCTTAGAGGTTATTTGCAACTATTTCAGTCACTATAGGTCCTCCTACACATTGGGACTTGATTAAAAATGAACCATTCAAACAGCGATTCTCTTTCCTGTGCCGAGGACTCGTAGTTAAAATAAAAATAATATCCTTGGCTTGTGTGTCTTCTCATATCACGACCCTTTGCTGTTGATAATCCCTTATTCTTACTGAAATAGGCTCTTCAGATATGGATTCATTGCCTGATAACGGCAGAAAAAAATGGAAAAAGTTTCTCTCCTCAGAGCTGCTGCTACTTTTCTAAGGCGTTAAAGATGTACTTCACATCATCAGCTTGCTCCCCCATCACAAATAAAGGTAATGACTTGGCAAAAACTGAAATGAAGGTATAATGTACCACATCGACAGGGGCACCATTTTCTACAGTCGTGAAAATCTTCCTGTCACAGGAAACTGTACTTAGGAGGGTTTATGATGTTGGTTTAATGACTCGGGCTAATAGGAGAGGTGAACGGCACACTGCGTTTGAAGGCAGACTGATGGCATCTTGGCTTAAGCACTTGTTGAAAGCTCTTCAGGTAATTCACTCGAGTCGGGTCTGATTGCCCTTTTAGATGAGTTCATATTCGAAACATCCTCGGGACTAAAAACGCCGCTGTGTGCGGAGTGAAGAATCAGTGCATACGTCTTGATTTTAGATAATGCGGCGATTCCTCCAGGATCAGGCGCTCATACTTCGAGGTGTTTTACTAAAGGAATAATCTTCACTAAATGGAATAGGAGCAAGTTTGACTATTTAACATGAGCCTCAATGACTCCTGCCTTATTGTGGAGGATTATATATCGGATTATTACAACAACGGAGGTTTAAACACTGTACTGTCCACTGTAAAGAGAAGTAAAGGACATTAACTGGAGTACTGCTTGAATTCACCTCAGCTGTACTGAATAACTTTTGTACTGGGAATAACCTCTTAATGAGATCGGGCAACAACTCAATTTTTTAGAGAATAAATGGATTTGATTAACCTGGTTTGGATTTTTAAAGGGTTACCAAATTGGGATTACAAGCCCTCCATAATTAGGGACTATGTACTTTGTCCAAAAGGGGGCGTTAAAAGTCCACATGAAATGAGATATTCTGGTTTTTGCTTTTGAAGGATATTTTCTGTTTGATATTCATTATTTTATCTGGACAAAGTCGTTGTTTTGCAAGTCAAAAATACGTCGAGTCTGAAGTCTCGAGTGAAGTCCAAAGCTCTGGCTGAAGTGAAGCCTTTGTTTAAAGTGCCACTATGTAATAAAGAAGGGCTACAAATAAGTCCAAACCAACACCAATGTGCAGCAGAACTCTGATCCAATCTCTTGAAGATACCAATTTACTCAAGAACAATCTGACTTCTATTTTAAAAGCTCCCATGAGCAGTTTTTGTCACATCTATGAAATAGAATTAAAGTCATATAAGTGCATGTTCATGGTATACAAAAGCAAACAACAACATGGAACAACAACTTATTATAGTATGTAATGCCAAGTTTAAAAAAAGCCCTATTCATAAATTTTTCCAATTAAATTTTCA